CTCGCCATTCTCACCACCACGGCTCCATTTCAGAGCTCCTGGCTCCCACACAAGGACAGCTTCTGGGCTCTCAGCTCTTCCCTCTCCCCCTCTGGGCCCCCAGAATCTCTCTAAAAGTGTAGGTGCATGTGGGTGGCTCATCATGGCAGCAGCTAACCTTTATAAGCACCTGCTCCATGCTTGGCACTCTGCTCTCCACTTCCAGATTCTTCAGGGAAGTCTTATTATCCCCATGCCACTGCTCACATGGGGTTCAGAGAAGTTAAATAAGTTGCCCAAGACCATACAACTACAAAGTGATGGTGCTGACATGTGAACCTTTGTCTGTCCGCCACCTTCTCTATCCTATTTCCAAAGCCTCCTCTGAACCCAGGGTTGGCATCCAGAGTGAGACTCCGGAAGCCACAGGGTCCACATATCTCGTCAGCTACACTGTTGGGAAGTCCTCCCAAATGTCCGATTTAAGTCTCGTCTGCTGCACCACGCCCCGTTGCCTCCTGTTTTCCAGGGCGGGCAGTGAGAGGGTGACTTCAGGGACTTCAAAAACTGGGTCACGTCACTGGGGCCTGGCCTTTCCCAGGGAGTGGGCAGCTGAACAATGGGAGATAAATGTGTGGAAACATCCCTGTTACTAAATATATCACCTCCGGAGAGGATGGGGTGCTGAAGCGGAGCCCAAGGCCCAAACCCCCCTAGAGGCCACGATCTTGAGGCTCAGACAAGCTGGGTGCTCAGAGCAGCAAAGGCTGAAGCCGAGGGGGTGTGAGGCAGCACTAAAGGGGTGATGTCTCATCCTCCAGGTCAAAGCTGCCAAGCCATGCTGGCTTATTTACATATTACTTTGCATTCATTTGCATGGCACTTTCTGGAAGGGGCCCACATTCTTCAGCCACTGCCTCTCCCCCATTTCCAAGGTCTTTTTTTTTTTTCACTGAACACCCCATTCTCATGCAAGGAGGAGCCCCTCGGCAAAACTACTGGGGGCATTAGGAGAGACCAAGAAGATTAAACAGAAAATGCTTCTTATGGTCTATACTCAGCTCCCCACTCTCCTGCTGCCCTTCATGCTTAGGTCATTGCACTCCCACAGTTCTCACACAAGCACAGCTCTCCTCAGGGCCTTGCACGTGGCCCTCCTTCTTCCTGGAGCTAGCCCTCAGTTCTGCCTAGGGCAGTGACCCTTCCTTCTAAGGCCAGCCCCAAAGCCCCCCTCCTACATGCCTGCCCCAGACATGGGCAGAGGTGGGAAAGACCATGGCTTCCCCCAGCTCTGTGGGGCTGCCATCTTTGGTTGAGCAGCAGTCCAGTGAATGGCTGCTGAGTGAACCAAGGAATGACTGAATCCCCACCCCCCTGCCTCTCTGAATCCCGCTAGGCCCCTCCCCCTGGCTGCCATCACTCACCTGCAGAGCCAGGAGATCCCACAGCCCCTCATGCTGGTAGGAAGGTCTTGCTGTTGTCTAGGCTCTCTCCCTTCCCTGGCCAAGCCGCCTTCATTATCCTTATTCTTAGAGAGGGTTCAGGGACTGTCCAATTTTAGTTTTACCATCTGTTCATCTCTCTCTGCCCAGGATGCACTCGTTCTACTCTTCCTTCTACTCCTGGGCCATTCTGCCTCCGCCTGGCCCTGCCTAGGAGGAAGGACAGTGACAGGAGAGAGCAATGGCACCAGGCCATGCAGGTACCCTGGAGCAGCCAGGCCCTGTGGATGAGCCCAGGGCAGGTATAACCACAACAAGGAAAGGGCTGCCCCAGAGGGAAGGGATGAGCACCTTGTCCCTAGGGGGATGTAAGCTGGGCTGGACAGACCTGCCAGTGAGCTGCAGAGAGGAATGAAGCAACTTCTAGACGGTGCCGGATGCTCTTCGTGTCCTCTCCCGCTCAGAGGCTGTACTGAGCGCGGGGGGCCCAGCCCTGTGCTGTGAGCAGGGGAGCGCAGGGAGACAGCTCCTGTCTTTGAGGAAGTTCTGGGCTGGCTGGGTAAGGAGCTCACACACGGGGGCATCATGGGGGAAGTCTCAGTCTAGGCTGTACTTTTGATCCTGTAGCATCAGAGAAAGAGACTCCAGGAGTCAGAGGGTGAGAGAACCCAGGAGGGCTTCCTAGGGGAGGCTCCCTATTCAAAAGCCTTTCTTCAGCTCCTCAATCCCAGAAGGAAGTCCAAGCCCCTTAACCTGACCCTTGTGATCCTACAAAGTCTGGCCCCTTCTGCCCTTTCTTCTTCTCATGCTCCTGCCAACTCAAACTCTCACTGCCCCTTGAACATGCCACACTTTCCCACATCAACCCACCTTTATATGCTGTTCCCTCTGCTCTTCCCCGCTGGGGCAATTCCTATTCATTCTTCAAGATTCAGCTCAAAGGTCTCTTCCTCTGAACCCCTGGCTTGGTGTGGCCCCCATAATTCTGGGGCTTACCTTTGCAAGCACTGTCCACATGACAGGCTTCTAAGTTTTCACTTCTGCCTCCCTCATTTAGACTGGGCACTCCCTCAGGGCAGGGTCTGGGTTGGTGTCCTCTCTGTGTCCCTAGTGACCAGCCCGCTCAGCACCAAGCAGGCACTGGGGAGTCCTGGTTGGATAAATGACTGAATGAATGAATGGATGTATGCAGGAAGGGAAGCGTGCTGAGAGGGTAGACTGTATCGGCAAGCAGCAGAAGCCTGAGGCGTGCAGGCCAGGCCCTGCAGCAGCACGCTGAAGGTGAGACTCGCAGTCCATTAAAACGGAAGGGGGTGCCGCCAGGAGTTCTGCCTCCCCCATTTGGCTAGATCCCAGCCAAGCCATCAGTAGTCCCTGGGGACAGGAGGCTGGAGTGGGAAGCAGGAAGAGTGGCAGGAGTTTCTTGGTGGGCAGGTGGGTGTGGGGAGCCTAAAGGCGATTAACCCTCACCGAGCCAACCCAACTCAAGCAAACAAGAGGTCCCATGGGGGGCCCGAAGGAGGAGACTGAGGCTCAGGTTTGCTGAAGTGCTTCAGCCCCAGCCTTGCAGCCAGCGGAGGATGACAAAGCCACAGCCTCAGTTTCCCTGTTTGGGAAAAGATGGCCCTGTGATCTCTGACCTTCTGCATCCTGGCTAGAAACCCTGCAGGGGTCTCTCCACTACTTCCAGCTATCCTGCACCTCCAAACCTGAGCTGCCTCATGCTCCCTTCCCCATGCTCTTCCAAGCCCTCGTCTCTCCCTTCAGGGAGGGAGCCTAGGTTTCATTTGCACCTGGGCCCACTCAGACCCAGACCTCACTGATGCCTGCATTGGCCTGGCCTCCATATTGGCCTCCTGGCCATCTCTCTCCCAATTCAACTCTGACAGCCCCACAGAGGCAGCTTTTTAAAACCCAAATTTGATGATGCCTCTCCACTGTATAATACCTCCCCAGACTCCCCAGGTCCCTCAGAATAAAATCCAAGAGGTCTGGAGCTCAAAGTGCTGCAGGATGTGGTTCCCGCCTACCCTCCAGTCTTCTGCTGCACATGCCCGACCCAACCCAGGGCCTTTGCTCATGCTGCACCCACTCCACTCTCCACCTGTTAGCTTGATCCTGGTCTTCACAGCGTCACTATTCTTAAGCTATTTGTCTAGGGAGCTTAGAAGGCAACAGAGGCGAGAGCCATTCTTGCCTATGTCTTCCTGCATCTCCCCACAGGGTGTAAAATGAACTGTCCTGGAATCATGGTCACGTGTTTGGCACCTCCACCCTGCCTCGGTGGCACAGTGTCCCAGCTGTGTTCTCAACCACCCCAGAAAGAAAACAGCCATCCATGCACACTCAAACACACACATATAGTCACACACATGCACCAGCCACACAAGGACCAACATACATACTCATGCACACTAGCACCCTGTTTATACACTCACATCAGGACATTTATGCTAACAGCCACACACACACATACACACACACACACACACAGTAATACTAATAGTCACACACTAACAAATAAAGCCATACACATGAATGCACATGGAATTAAACAACATCCTCAATATTGAGTCGTCTATTTTGTAGACATAGCACACATATTAACATGCATGCGACATAAAAATTCAAACTAACACACATGCACACACCTACACACGCACACACACACACACACACACACACACACACCAATCTGCACTCAATTTTTCACAATTACACTGGATGCTCACACCCTGCTGTTCACAACCACCAAAGACCCCAGAACTCACAGGCCCCTTTATACCCCGCTTGTCCCCTTGCAACCCACAAGTCCCTTTTGCACCCCTTACATGTACAAACATACATATACCTTAAGGTAGCCTGGCATGGACCTGCCGCCTCAGCAACCCTCAGCCGGTGGAGGGCACCTCCTCCATTCACCTGCACGTGCGGCCCCCGCACGTGGGCAAACACGAGGCTTGTGCGCAGGGGCCTCGTTCCAAAGAACACTGTGGCTCTGACGGGACAGGTGATTTGGGGTAAATTTGCCTAAACTGGCGGCTCTGAATCCCAATCCCAGTTCCATGGAGGGCAGTTAGTTGCTCCAAACTCTTTCCTGCTCCAGAGCCACTCATTCATTTTTGTGTAACTGCCCCCCCCCCACTCAACACACACACACACACACACACACACACACACACACACTCTCTCTCTGGGTGTCCGACAGTCCCTCTCCAAGGTCCTGAATTAATCTACCCTCCACCGGAGCTCCTTGGAACCCCTCCCCCCGCCTCCACCCACTGCAGACCTCCCCCAACCCCAGCCCCTGAAGGAATGATTCCATCCCCCAACCACCAGCTCTCTGTGGAACCCCAACCACACCACCCCCTAGATTGACACAGGCATCTCTGCCCTACACAAAGCTCTCCCCCCCAACCCCCCCGTGATTCCAGAAACCAGGTGCCCAGGAGCCGGATCGATCATCCCACGTGGCTCAGTTCCATTCCAAACCCAGATCCTTGGAGGGACTCTCAGGACCCCGTCCACGGCACCTTGTGCAGCCACTCACTCAGACCCCAACCCCTCAATAGTACTCACGGCTCAGCCGGTCGCGCTGCCGGGTACTGCTGGCTCCTGCAGAGGATGGAGTGGCCGCATGCCTGCCCCATCACTCCTCATCATCTGCCTCCCCAGCCAGACTACGGTGGCACTTTGCCCTTCCCACCCTGCCCAGGGCTCCAGGCAGGGCGCCTGGTCCAGCAGGCACGGGGACCAGGAGGAGCAGCCTGTCCCCGACTCAGCCTGGACTCAACACCCCAATCCAGCTCTGCTGCCCTGGCTTCTCCCGGCTGCTCTCGCCTCTCCTGCTGCCTCTGCCTCTGCCGCTAGGCTGGCTGGCTGGCTCTGGGAGGAGGTTGGAGTTCTGATAATGCAGAAGGGGGAGGGGAGAAGGAGGAGGCACAGAGAGGCCCAGACAGAGAGAGAGAGAGAGAGAAGAGGGGGTGGGGGTAGAGAGAGACTCTGGCTGGAAGAGGACAAGAAATACACACAGAGGAAGAGACTGAGAGAAACACAGAGGAAAGGGGACAGAAACACGTGAAGGAGAGGAGAGAGGGATCAGAGCCCAACAGAGATCAAGATGCTCCAGTATGAACTCCTACTAGGTGTGGTGGGCACCCTAGCCACCACATCCCTTCACAGCGTTCACCATCAGTAGCCTACAGCCGGGGAGAGCCTGCCACGCCTCTGCCCCTTCCCCAGAGAGGACTCCTCAGGAGGATGACCTAACCCAACGGAATGAAACAGGCAGGGAGCTGTCTCAGCGAGTCTCCTATTGGACACAGAAGGGAAAGCTCCACACTTTGAGGCAGGAGGTTGGGGTTTGAGTCTTGGCTCCACCACTTGCACACTCATTCACTCATCCTCAAACACCTATGACCGGCCAACGTCGTCGGATATGACTCAAACTGCTTCTTGCCCCGGAGAAGCACCCAGGCCAGGGGAGGGGGAATTGCAGTGTGACAGAGGGAAGCATTAGGTCTGCTGTGCTCAAAGGGGGGCCCTGACTCAGTCAGAGGTTGGCAAATGTTTCTGGAAAAGAGGATCTTTAAAGGCAAGGAGGGGACCCCAGGAGAAGGGGGTGTATTGCAGGTGAGAGGAGCTGCATGTAACCCTCATCAGTAACCCCTCCTCCCTGAGCTGGGGGGGAATAACCCCACCACACACACCAGGCTGCAGACAGAGAAGCCCAGGAGACCAGTGGAAACCTGACCCCTGCTCAAGGGCATGGGGGCACACGATTGTGGGGGGGGGGGGTGGACAGAAATGTCAAGCTTGTTCAGGAGCCCCGGCCAGGCTGAGTGCTGCAGAAAGCAGCTGGCTTAGGAAGTGTCAAGGAAGAAAATGGGAGGGAGCGTTTGCTTCCCGCTGTGGCCCCAGAAGGTAGAATGTTTCATCTCTGAGAGCTCTGGGCAAACTGTTTTTCCAGCCTGACCCATCATGGGACCTCGCTGCTCCATGCCTGCTGGCGGGGAAGGCACTTTGCGGTCTCAGAAAGCCAAAGCCCTGGCCTGCGTCCAGTCCTGGTGCTCACAGCTCCCCTTCACGCCCTGAGGTGCCCGGCGGGAAGAAGCTGAGTCAGAGGAGTTCAAAGGAGGGCTGCTCCCCGCACGGGTGAGGGGGAGCAGGTGCACTGAGGCGTCACTGGCTCTCGGCCCCCTTCAACCCCTCCTCCACTCAGGAAACGATGGTGGAGGCCTTGACTTTGGAAACCATCTGAGCATATACGCAAACAAGTCAGGTGGGAGGGAGGATATCCTCCTCATCCCACGGTCACACCAAACCCCACATCTGCCCCAGAAGTCAGGTGTCTGCAGGAACGAGGTGCGAGACCCAGGACGACTGGCTACTCCAGAACGTAGAGCCGGCAGGTGCAAGTTCACGTCCCAGCTCTGCCATGTGTCCCGGGCAAGTCATTTAACCTGAGCTTTAACCTGGTCTTCTCATCTGAAAGAGCCAGCATTTCAAGCTCAGGGGTCTGTGGAATGTCTGAAAGGTTCCTGTCCATAGTCTGTCCCGCTCCTCCCATCCCTCCCCTGAAGAGGTTGAGTTGACACGTTGGGTAGGAGCTCCTGTGGGGTAGCGCTGGGAGGAGGAAGGCGCAGAAAGGGGAGAGCCTGGGACTATACAGACCTGCGCTTCCCTCTCTACCTCCAACAGCCGGCAAGACCAGCGGGTGCAGGAGCCCTAGGCCCGCCCCGCCTCAGGTCCCGCCCAGGACGCTCTCCACGGTGCTGATCCGTAAGGTCCGGTTCACAGGTCCTGTGGCAGGTCAGCTGACACAGGTTTTTTGGGTATGCTGTGTTGTGGTGTAGGGTGAGGTGTGGGGTGGTGTGGGGAGGGGTGAGGTGGGATAGGGTGAGGTGAGGTGGGATAGTGGGGGGTGGTGTATTGTGGGATTAAGTGGGGTGAGGTGGGGTGGTGGGAATGGGGTGGGATGGGGTAGTGTGGAGTGGTGTGAGGTGGTGGTGGTGTGGGGTGATGTGGTGATGGTGTGGTGTGCGGTGGGGTAGGGTGGTGTGGAGTGGGGCTGGATGGGATGGTGTGGGGTGGGGTGGTGTGTTGTGGGATGGGGTGGGGTGAGGTGGGGTGGTGGGGATGGGGTGTGTATGTTCAAAATCTTTATTGTTGAAAATATTACATGTCACCTTTCTTTCCCCCATTGATTCCCTCCAGCCTGCCCCATGCACACCCCCCTCCCAACACCTCCCCCCCACCCAGCCTCTTGGCCTTCACCACCCTATTGTCCGTGCCCATGTATCCATGGGTTATGCATAGATGCATACAAGGTCTTTGGTTGATTACCTCTCACCCACTCACCCTCCCCCACCTTCCCTTCAAGATTCTGCACTGGGTGTGTGTGGTGGATCTTTTTTCTTTCTTTTTCCCCCTGCTAGTTGGGGAAGTGGAAGGAGGTGGGAGGATGCAGGATGCTTCTGGGAGGCGTATGGTTGCCCAGAGCGACTAGAGGATCCAGCCTCCACCCGGATCCACAGGCTCAAGCTACCTCCTCTTGACCAAAGGTGGCTTCTCAGCGCCCTCCCCCACACCCTCCTGTGAGGCTGTCCCCCTCCCACCGTCCAGATGGCACTTACTGTCTTGCTCGCTGCCTCATCCTATCTTCACCCCCTCAATATGGATGGTGCTCCCCACAGGAGCACCAGGCCTGTTCTCCTCATTCTCCACCCTACCCCACGGGGCATGGAGCTTTCCACCAACATGCTAGCGACTGTGGGTGCCCTGGCCCAGCTCTTTCTCTGGAGCACCAAGTGTCTGGACATCTCTTCTGGGGACACCCCACAGGCCCCTCGAACTGAAATATCCAACATCCAACACTGCTTTGTCTCTAAAGACATCAGCAAAGTTCTAGTCCCAAGTCTGGACACTTCAGAGTTGCTCTGCCTCTACCCTTTGCACTTGTATCAAATCTGTCAGGAAGGCCTGTCAATTCTCCCTCTGAGATTCTCACAGCTACCCACTCCCCTCCTTCCCGGAGCCCCAGCTTCCTTCTCCTCAACTGGTCCTTCTCCAGCCCCATCCCAGTTCAACCCCTCATCCACCTCCACCCTGCACCTATTGCCGCCTTTCTAAGACATCTAGCTGGTCATGTGACTCCTCAAAACCCTTGCATGGCTCTCTGGGTCCCTTGGGATAAAGCCCCATCACCTCAGCTGGGCATTTGAGGTCTCTCATGATCAACCCCGACTGACCCTCCCATCCTTGGCTCCACATGGAGCAGCCTCTGGTCCCTAAGCACACACCAGCGCTTTCCTCCTTCACTTGCACAGTCTGTTCCCCCTCCCAAGCTGACTTCCTTCTCCTCGTCCTTCTTTGCCCATCCCAAATGCTGGCCCACTCTTCCTGGACAGTTCAGCACACACCCTGCCCCCTCCCACAAGGGGCAGGGTAGGCAGCAGGGGTCACCGGATTCTAGACTGGGCAGCCCTGGCCGCCTCTCCCTTCCCTAGCTTGCCATCTGCCACCCCCCACCCCCTTGCTTAGGCCCATCTCTGCTACTGGATCACACTGTCCTCAAGGACAGGCCAACGTCCTCTTCACCTCAGCCCGGCCCCAGCCTTTGAGCAGCCTCCCCAGGTACCAGTGAGAAATGCTGATGGAGGAGAGTAGGAAGGAGGCACAGCTGAGTGTGGAAATGGCACGGCGTACTTCAGAGCTCAATCCACCATCCGAAGGGAGCAAGCCCTCAGAGGCTGCAGGTGGCTGTGGGGGGACAGGTGATGTGGAGGGGGCCTCTCGGACCCGCTCTGTGGGGGATACACACACACACACCCGGGGCAGACTGAGGTCATGGAGTGTGAAGCCGCCCTCAGCTCTCCAGGGGAGGCTGGTAATTGGCAGAACATGAATTTCACGGAGGGTTGGACTCAAAACCCTCGGGTGACTCCCTCTGGCTGGAGGCCAGGATGGGCCCCCATCTGGGTCTTGGCAACGGGGTGTGAGGGGGGGAGTGGGGCTCGAGGCGCCATCTCACAGTGCTTCTCCGTCTCCTCCTCGGCTAGGAAGCTGCCACCTGTAGCTCCAAGGACAACGGCTGAGAACCATGTCCTTGGCAAGGGACTGGCATAGCTCCCTGCACCCCCACACTAAGCACCCCATTACATCATGGGTGAGAGCCTTTGTCAGCAGAGAAACAAAAGGCTGCCTCGCCTCCAGAACAGCTCTGAGGTGCAGCAGCTTCTCGGACACTGCAGGAAGGTGGCTCTGGGCCCAGGACCCAGGGCCCAGGCACCGTGTGCTTGAGGTGCCAGATCTCTCAGAGCTGCCCTGAGAGAAGGGATGCTCCAGGGGGGGCGTGAGCTCCCGTTCCTGCTGGGCAGGCAGACGAAGCGGTAGAACAGATGGCAAATTTAGGGAGGGAAGAGGCAGCAGCAGCTCAGCTCCTCAGCCCAGAATCCGGTGACCCTTTCTGCCTACACTGCCCTGTGGGTGGGCGGGGGAGGCTGCAAGGGCCCAGCGAGGATGGGCAGAGAAAAGGAAGAGGAGAGGTAAGTCAACCAGACACTTGGAAATGCCTTCTGCGTAAGGGCAAGGCCTTCTCCAGGGATAGGAATCGGGCAGCAGAAGATGCAGCAGACTTCAATCCCTCATG